AGAACCAGTTTCAGGGTCAGGGTCAGGATCAGGATTAGGATCAGGATGAGGATGAAGATGAGGATTAGGATCAAGACCAGGATCAGGATCAGGGTCAGGATCAGGGTCAGGATCAGGATGAGGATCAGGATCAGGATTAAAAGCAGGATTATGATCAGGATCAGGATCAAGATCAGGATTAGGATCAGGATTAAGATCAGGATTAGGATCAGGATTAAGATCAGGATTAGGATCAGGATAAGGATTAGGATCAGGATTAGGATCAGGATCAGGATCAGGATTTGGATCAGTTTCAGAACCAGTTTCAGGGTCAGGGTCAGGATCAGGATTAGGATCAGGATGAGGATGAAGATGAGGATTAGGATCAAGACCAGGATCAGGATCAGGGTCAGGATCAGGGTCAGGATCAGGATGAGGATCAGGATCAGGATTAAAAGCAGGATTATGATCAGGATCAGAATTAGAATCAGGATTAAGATCAGGATTATGATCAGGATCAGGATTAGGATCAGGATTTGGATCAGTTTCAGGACCAGTTTCAGGGTCAGGATCAGGATTAGGATCAGGATGAGGATGAAGATGAGGATTAGGATCAAGACCAGGATCAGGATCAGGGTCAGGGGCAGGATCAGGATCAGGATCAGTTTTAGGATTAAGATCAGGATCAGTATAAATTTCAGGATCAGGATCAGTTTTAGGATTAGGATTAGGATTAGGATCAGGGTCAGGATCAGGATCAGGGTCAGGATCAGGATCAGTTTTAGGATTAGGATCAGGATCAGGATTAGGATCAGGGTCAGGATCAGGGTCAGGGTCAGGATCAGGATGAGGATCAGGATTAAAAGCAGGATTATGATCAGGATCAGAATTAGGATCAGGATTAAGATCAGGATTATGATCAGGATCAGGATTAGGATCAGGATTTGGATCAGTTTCAGGACCAGTTTCAGGGTCAGGATCAGGATTAGGATCAGGATGAGGATGAAGATGAGGATTAGGATCAAGACCAGGATCAGGATCAGGGTCAGGATCAGGGTCAGGATCAGGATGAGGATCAGGATCAGGATTAAAAGCAGGATTATGATCAGGATCAGGATCAAGATCAGGATTAGGATCAGGATTAAGATCAGGATTAGGATCAGGATAAGGATTAGGATCAGGATTAGGATCAGGATTAGGATCAGGATTTGGATCAGTTTCAGAACCAGTTTCAGGGTCAGGGTCAGGATCAGGATTAGGATCAGGATGAGGATGAAGATGAGGATTAGGATCAAGACCAGGATCAGGATCAGGGTCAGGGTCAGGATCGGGATCAGGATCAGTTTTAGGATTAAGATCAGGATCAGTATAAATTTCAGGATCAGGATCAGTTTTAGGATTAGGATTAGGATTAGGATCAGGGTCAGGATCAGGATCAGGGTCAGGATCAGGATCAATTTTAGGATTAAGATCAGGATCAGGGTCTGGATCAGGATCAGTTTTAGGATTAGGATCAGGATCAGGATTAGGATCAGGGTCAGGGTCAGGGTCAGGATTAAGAGCAGGATTATGATCAGGATCAAGATCAGGATTAGGATCAGTTTCAGGACCAGTTTCAGGATCAGGGCTGGGGGTCAGGATCAGTGTCAGGAAACAACTGGAATATTACAATGGCACAATTTGAATATTTAACAAGAAATTTAATTTTTAACACTGACAATTCCCGACGTCTCTCCCGTCCATTTCAAACCCCCACCGGGCGAATTCCCAGAACATTCCCGTCCCATCCCGGCCTGAAGAACGGGAAGAGATTCCCAGAAATCCTCAAGGGCAGCGATCCCAGGAGCTGCTTTTCCTCGACGTCGAAGAAGGAGAGAACTCCGTTTTCCTGGTCCAGGAACAGCCCGAGCACGCGGCAGCGCCCGGAATTCCGCTCCAGCTTCCCGCCGGGGAGCCGGAATTCCCCCTGGGAATATTCCAGCCCCGCCACCTTCTCCTCCGGAACCGAGGGAACGGAATCATCCCGGAGGGAATCCCGGATTTCCTCCGCCAGCACTCCCAGCTCCCAGCCGGAGCCGGAGCCCAGCTCCACTTCCCAGTAGTGCTTCCCTCGGGAAAATCCTTCCCGCGCCACGGCCGCGGCCTCGGGGCGGCGCCGGGAGCCGGGAGCCGAGCGCGGGATCCCCGAATTCCCCCGGAGCTCCGGCGCCGGGCAGCGCTCGTCCGGAGTCAGCGACACTTGGGGAGGAGGAGCCGGGGTTGGGATCGCGAGGGAGCGCTCGGTGTCGCGCGGTGTGAATTGAGATCGCGTGATATCGCGTGGTATCGCGTGATATCAATTGATATCGCGTGATATCATGTGGTATCGCGTGATATCAATTGATATCGCGTGATATCGTGTGGTATCGCGTGATATCAATTGATATCGCGTGGTATCGTGTGGTATCGTGTGATACCGTGTGGTATTGTGTGATATTGTGTGATATAAATGGATATCGCGTGGTATCGTGTGGTATCGCGTGGTATTGTGTGATATAAATGGATATCGCATGATATCGTGTGGTATCGTGTGATATCAATTGATACCGCGTGATATGGTGTTGTATCGTGTGATATCGCGTGATATCGCGTGGTATCGCGTGATATCCATTGATATCGTGCGATATCGTGTGGTATCGTGTGATAGCGTGTGGTGTAAATGGATATCATGTGATATTGTGTGATATAAATGGATATCGTGTGGTATCGTGTGATATCAATTGATATCGTGCGATATCGTGTGGTATCGCGTGATATCAAGTGATATCGCGTGATATCGTGTGGTATCGCGTGATATCAATTGATATCGCGTGATATCGTGTGGTATTGTGTGATATAAATTGATATCGCGTGGTATCGTGTGGTATCGTGTGATATTGTGTGATATAAATTGATATCGCGTGATACCGTGTGGTATCGCGTGATATCCATTGATATCGTGCGATATCGTGTGGTATCGTGTGATATAAATGGATATCGCGTGGTATCGTGTGATAGCGTGTGGTGTAAATGGATATCATGTGATATTGTGTGATATAAATGGATATCGTGTGGTATCGTGTGATATCAATTGATATCGTGCGATATCGTGTGGTATCGTGTGATATCAATTGATATCGCGTGGTATCGTGTGGTATCGTGTGATATTGTGTGGTATCGTGTGATATCAATTGATATCGCGTGATATCGTGTGGTATCGTGTGATATCAATTGATATCGTGCGATATCGTGTGGTATCGTGTGATATCGCGTGATATCGTGTGGTATCGTGTGATATCAATTGATATCGCGTGGTATCGTGTGTTATCGTGTGGTGTAAATGGATATCGTGTGATATTGTGTGATATCAATTGATATCGTGTGATATCGTGTGGTATTGTGTGTTATCAATTGATATCGCGTGATATCATGTGGTATCGTGTGATATCAATTGATATCGTGCGATACCGTGTGGTATTGTGTGATATAAATGGATATCGCGTGGTATCGTGTGATATCGTGTGATATTGTGTGATATCAATTGATATCGTGCGATATCGTGTGGTATCGCGTGATATCAATTGATATCGTGCGATATCGTGTGGTATTGTGTGATATCGTGTGGTGTAAATGGATATCGCGTGGTATCGTGTGATATCACGTGATATAAATTGATGTCGTGTGATATCGTGCGGTATAAATTGATATTGTGTGATATGGTGTGATATCGTGTGATATAAATTGATATCGTGTGATATTGCGTGATATCGCGTGATATAAATTGATGTCGTGTGATTTCGTGCGGTATAAATTGATATTGTGTGATATGGTGTGATATGGTGTGATATCGTGTGGTATTGTGTGATATAAATTGATATCATGTGATATCGTGTGATATCGTGTGGTATAAATGGATATTGTGTGATATCACGCAGTATAAATTGATATCGTGTGATATAAATTGATATTGTGTGATATAAATTGATATCATGTGATATCGCGTGATAGAAATTGATACGTGATATAAATTGATATGGTGTGATACTGTGTGATATAAATTGATATCGTGTGATATAAATTGTTATTGTGTGATATAAATTGATATCGTGTGATATAAATTGATATCGTGTGATATAAATTGATATCGTGTGATATCGCGTGATAGAAATTGATACGTGATATAAATTGATATTGTGTGATAATGTGTGATATAAATTGATACGGTGTGATATAAATTGTTATCGTGTGATAAATTGATATCGTGTGGTATCGTGTGATATCGTGTAATTTAAATTGATATCGTTTGATATCACGTGATATCATGTGATATCGCTTGATATCGTGTGATATCATGTGGTATAAATTGATATCGTGTGATATTGTGTGACATCATGTGATATCGTGTGATATCGCACGGTATCGTGGTATAAATGGATATCGTGTGATATCGTGTGATATAAATTGATATGGTGTGATATGGTGTGATATCATGTGATATAAATTGATGTGGTGTGATATGGTGTGATATCGTGTGATATAAATTGATATGGTGTGATATCGTGTGATATCGCGTGATATAAATTGATATGGTGTGATATCGTGTGATATCGCGTGATATAAATTGATATGGTGTGATCTCGCATGGTATCGCGTGGTATAAATTGATATCTTGTGATATCGTGTGATATAAATTGATATCGTGTGGTATAAATTGATATGGTGTGATATCGCGTGATATCGCGTGATATCGTGTGATATCGCGTGGTATAAATTGATATGGAGTGATATGGTGTGATATCGTGTGATATAAATTGATATGGTGTGATATCGTGTGATATCATGTGATATAAATTGATATCGTGTGATATCGTGCGATATAAATTGATATCGTGTGGTATAAATTGGTATTGTGTGATATTGCGTGATATCATTTGATATTGTGTGGTATAAATTGATATGGTGTGATCTCGCATGGTATCGCGTGGTATAAATTGATATGGTGTGATATCGTGTGATATAAATTGATATCGTGTGGTATAAATTGATATCGTGTGATATCGCGTGATATCGTGTGATATAAATTGATATCGTGTGATATCGTGTGATATAAATTGATATCGTGTGATATCGTGTGATATCGTGTGATATAAATTGATATCGTGTGATATCGTGTGGTATAAATTGATATCGTGTGGTATAAATTGATATCGTGTGATATTGCGTGATATCATTTGATATCGTGTGATATAAATTGATACTGTTTGATATCATGTGATAAAAATGGATAGCCTGCGATAATCATTTGGTATCGTATGATATCATTTGATATCACATGATATCGTGTGATATAATTTGATATTGTTTGATATCGTGTGAGATAAACGGAGAAGAGGAAGAGGGAGAGGAAGAGGAAGAAGAGGAAGAGGAGGAAGAGGAGGAGGAGGAAGAGGAAGAGGAAGAGGAAGAGGAAGAGGAAGAGGAAGAGGAAGAGGAAGAGGAAGAGGAAGAGGTTTCGGGCCGGACTCACCCGCGTGACTCTGGGCCCGTCTGAAGACTGGGTGGGAGAAGCAGCAATTAACGCTAATTAACGCTAATTAATTAACGCTAATTAGCGTTAATTGCAGCGCTCATTTGCATAGGGCGGAGGGGCGGGGCCGCTCACCCAGAGGGCCCTGGATCCGCTCTGGAACCGGAAACACCCGGAAAGGGTCAGGGACGGAAATCCCGGGATTCCCCAAATTCCCGGAATTCTCCAGATTCCCAAAATTTCCCCTGAATTCCCCAAATTCCTGGAATTCCCCAAATTCCCCAGAATTCCTTTCTGGACTCCCCAAATTCCTGGAATTCTGGGATCCCCCAAATTCCTGGAATTGCCCATATTCCCCAAATTCCCAGAATTTACCCGGATTCTCCAAATTCCTGGAATTCTGGGATCCCCCAAATTGAAATTCCCCGAATTCCCCAAATTCCTGCAATTCCCTCTGGATCCCCCAAATTCCTGGAATCCCCCAAATTCCCGGAATTCTCCAGAATTCCCCAAATTCCTGGGATTCCCCAAATCCCTGGAATTGCCTGGAATTCCCCAAATCTCACGGATTCCCCGATTTCCTGGAATTCCCCGGATTCCCAAAATTCCCGGATTCTCAGAATTCCCCAAATGCCCCAAATTCCCAGAATTCCCAGAACTCCCCAAATTCCCGGAATTCCCGGAATTCCCGGAATTCCCTCACCGAGTTTTGCCTCCATCTCCTGCTGCTCTGTGGGGAGAAAAGGGAATTTGGGATTTGGGGATAACGAAGCCGGGGCTAATTAATGACATTAATTAAATCAAAGGGATTTTATTCAGTTAATTTAATGGAAGAGATAATGGGAGCGATAATTAATTGCAGTGGGTTATAATAATTTATGAAATTAAATATAATAAGGCATTATTAGCCATAAATAAATAATCAATAATCAATAATCAATAATCAATAATCAATAATAAATAATAAATAATAAATAATAAATAATAAATAATAAATAATAAATAATAAAAAATAAAAATAAAAAATAAAAAATAAAAAATAAAAAAAAATAAATAAGTAATATACAATAAATAATAAATAATCAATAATTTTAAAAATAATAAATAATAAATTTTGAAATTAAAAATTAAAAAATAAAAATTATAAATAGATAATAATAATAAACAATAAACAATAAATACTAAATACTAAATTAAAAAATAATAAAAATAAATTTTAAAAAATAAATAATGAATGTTAAATTAAAAATAATAAAAAAAAATTAATGTCTTTTTATTAAATCAGTAATTATTTTATTTATATTATAAATTTATAAATATATATTTTTATTTATATTATTTATTCATCGAAATACTTATTTATATTATTAATTCTAAATATTATTAATTCTAAATATTCTTATTCTAAAAAAGAATTCTAAATATTATTAATTCATTAATAATATTAATGAATTCTATTCATTAGAATAGAAAATTCTAAATTCTAAATATTATTAATTCATTATTCTAAATATTATTAATTCATTATTATAGAATTAATAAATAATAAAGTAATGAAAAATAAATTAATAGATTATGAATGTATTCTTATTCAATCATTGTTTGGTAAATAGTAACGATTAATTGATTTAATTAATAATGAAGATTAAATAATAATTAATAGCAAATAATTAATCTAATAATTTATAGTTGATTATAATATAAAATAATATATTATGCTAATTTTATTAATCTTTAATATTTTTCTTAAAAGAATGATTCACAACAACATAATTATCCTATGAATACTAATAAATAATTAATTATTACTAATATCATCGAGTTATAATTTTCTAAGGAGTCGACCAAATACAAGAGATATTTATTACTTAATAAATTAATATTATTTAGTAAATATTTCTGCCATTAATAGAATTGTTTCCATTAATAGAATGAATATATAATAATTATAATAATAGTAATAGTAATAGTAATAGCAATAATATGGAATTAATTAATTGCTGAATTAATAACTCCTTAATTAATCAGCGGAATCGTCAATTCCTGAGGGATTTGCCACCAAAATCCCGGAATTTTTTCCCAAATCTCGCGGATTTGGAATTTTTACCCCTCTGGAATTTTGCAATCTCCTCCTCTGGAAAAGAACAGAACAAAAATCACTCATTAACCACTAATAAATCATTAGTCCTGATTAATTAATTATTACACGATTATTTACTATTTATAACTTAATTATTAATAAATAATAATTATTTTATTTAATAATAATAAATGTTAATAATAATAAGAATTAATTGCTGCAAGCTCATAAAGAAATATCTCCGAATTATTTGAAATATTAGAGGCTATTAATTAGTCCCCGTGATAATTCTGTTATGCCTAATAAAGAATTAATTAAAAAATAAATACATGAAATAATATAATAATAATAGTATTAATAATAGTATTAATAATAGTAATAATAGTAATAGTACTAATAGTAATAGTAATAGTAGTAATAGTAATAGCAATAGTAATAGCAATAGTAATAATAGTAATAGTAATAGTAATAGTAATAATAATAATAATAAAATAATAATAATAATAATAATAATAATAATAATAATAATAATAATAATAATAATAATAATAATAATAATAATAATAATAATAATAATAATAATATAAAAATAAATAATTAATTTACTTAATCTAATAATTGCCAGAATTCTGGTAAATAATTAATCCAAGTCTAATTAAACTAATTCAAATTAATCAAATAACAATATTTAAATTAATCGAATCAATAATTAGTGTAATAAACAATTGGTATGAGTCTAATCATTAGTGTCTAATAATTAATCAAAATTTAATAAGCAATTAATCCAAGTCAAAGAAATGTCCAGTCTGAGTAGCATGAATAATTAGTCTAATAAACAATTATTCTAATAATTAGTGCCACTCTAATAAACTAACAGTTTAAAGCTTATAAAAAATTGGTTGAAGGCTAATAACTAATTAATTAGAGGCTAATAAATCATTCATTAGGTGCTAATAACTAATAATTATAGTCTGATAGCTAATTAGCGGCTAATAACGGATGAATTAGAGGCTTATATATCATTAATGAGATGCTAATAATAAATAATTAGCTTCTGATATCTAATTAGAAGTTAAAAAATCATTAATTAGATGCTAATAACTAATTACAGATTCATAAATAATTAATGAGATGCTAATAAAGAATACTTTGAGTCTGATAGCTGATTAGGTGCTAATAACTATTTAATGAGACGCTAATCATTAGTTGGCGGTTGATCATTAATTAATTAATCATTAATTATTACCCAGCTCCATCTTGAGCTCCTCGATCTCTGCAGGAAATGAGAACCGGAAGTGACGAAATCCCCTTTTCCCGCTTTCCCCGGGGGATTTCCGGGAATTCCGGGGGAATTTTGGGAATTCTTGGAGATTTCTGGGAATTCCGGGGGATTTCCGGGAATTCCGGGGGATTTTTGGGAATTCCGGGGGAATTTTGGGAATTTCAAGAGGATTTCCGGGAATTCCGGGGGATTTTTGGGAATTCCGAGGAATTTCCGGGAATTCCGGGAGATTTCTGGGAATTCCGAGGGATTTTTGGGAATTCCGGGGTATTTCCGGGAATTCCGGGAGATTTCCGGGAATTTTAAGGGAATTTCTGGGAATTTCAAGGGGATTTCCGGGAGTTTTAAGGTAATTTCTGGGAATTCTGGGAGATTTCTGGGAATTCCGGGGGAATTTTGGGAATTTCAAGAGGATTTCCGGGAATTTTAAGGGGATTTCTGGGAATTTTAAGGGGATTTCTGGGAATTCCGAGGGATTTTTGGGAATTCCGGGGGACTTCCGGGAATTCCGGGAGATTTCCGGGAATTTTAAGGGAATTTCTGGGAATTTCAAGGGGATTTCCGGGAATTTTAAGGGGATTTCCGGGAATTTCAAGGGGATTTCCGGGAATTTTAAGGTAATTTCTGGGAATTCTGGGAGATTTCTGGGAATTCCGAGGGATTTTTTAGGGATTCTGGTGGGATTTGGGGATTTTAGGGACGGAAATTCTCCGCTCACCCTCCTGGATCTCCCGCTGGTTTTTTCCTGGGAAAAACGACAGGAAATGGAAATTACAAAAAATTCCAGGAGCAGCAAAAAATCCTTTGGAATTCTTTGGAATTCCAAGATTTATTTTATGTGATTTTTCTATATTTGATTTTAATTTTTATTTTCTTTTATTTTACTTTATTTAATAGTATTGTATTTTAGTTTATTTAATTTTGCATTATTTTTCTTTGGTTTTTTATTTTTATTTTATTTTATTTTATTTTATTTTATTTTATTTTATTTTATTTTATTTTATTTTATTTTATTTTATTTTATTTTTTATGTTACTTGATTTTATTTTACTTGATTTTAAAAAATAATGATAATAATGATAATGATAATGATAATGATAATAATGTTAATGTTAATGTTAATGTTAATGTTAATGTTAATGTTAATATTAATGATAATAATAATAATAATAATAATAATAATAAAAAAATTCAGTAATAATAATTCAATAATAATAACATTTTAAAAGACATTAATATTATTTAAGAATAATAATATTTTATAAATAAATATTATTTCATATCCATATTTAATTCAAGATATATCGAATAATATTTCATCCATAAATAAATATTAATTTTATAAATAATAAAATTCATATCAATTAAAAATTCCAATTCCGGCCAAAATCCCTCCTCAAACCTCCCCAAATCCCGGCTGAAGCCTTAATTGGGGATCTTAATTAATGACCGGCAGTTCTTCAATTAATGAATTAATTAATGAATGAAAGAATTGCACTCACGCTCCTGAGCCAGGATCCGGCTGTTCCCTGGGAGAGAAGGGGTAATTAATGGGTAATTAATGGGTAATTAATAGAGACTTAATGGGTAATTAAGGGAACATTAATAGAGAGTTGATGGGTAATTAATGGAACATTAATAGGTAATTTATAAGCTATTAATTGAGAATTAATGGATCATTAAAGGGTAATTAATGGGTCAATAATGGTCCAATAATGGGTTATTAATAGCTCCTTAATGGGTAACTAATTGGTAATTAATGGGTAATTAATGGAAAATTAATGGCTTATTAATGTGTAATTAACGTGTAATTGAAGGGTTATTAATGAGTAACTAATGTGTTGTTAATGGGCTCTTAATGAGCAATTAGGTGCTATATCAAAAAGTAATTAATTGGCAATTAATGGGTTATAAATGAGTATTTATTTAGTTATTAATTGGTTATTATATGGTATTAATGTGTAATTAATGGGTCATTAATGATTTATTAGTGGGTAATTAATCGGTAGGTAATAGGTTATTGACGGGTAATAAATGGGGAAGTTATTGATAATTTATGTAATTAATGGATAATAAATGGGTAATTAATGGTTAATTAGCCGGCTTTTAACGGGTAATTAATGCGTAATTAATCGGTTTTTAATGGGTTAGTAATGGGTAAAATTTGGGTAAATGATGGTTAATGAATTGCTAATTAATTGTTAATCAATGGGTAATTACTGGGTGTTGAATGGATAATGAATGGGTCGGGGGGAATTTTTTGGGAATTTGGGGGGAAATTTTTGGGAATTTTTGGGGAATTTTGGGGGAATCTTTGGGGATTTTTTTGGGAATTTTTTGGGAATTCTGTGGAGTTTTGGGGGAATTTTTAAGGAAATTTTTGTGGAATTTTTTGTGAATGTTTTTGGGAATTTTGGGGGGGTTTTTTTTAATTTTCGGGGAATTTTTAGGGAATTTTAGGGGAATTTTGGGGGATTTTTTGGTGGGATTTTTGGGAATTTGGAGGGTAATTTTTTGCGGAATTTTGGAGAATTTTTTTTGTGGAATTTTTTGGGAATGTTGGGGGAATTTTTGTGGAGTTTTGGGTGAATTTTGCGGATTTTTGGGGTAATTTCTTAGAAAATTTTTGTGGAATTTTTTTGGATTGTTTAGGGGAATGTTTTGGGGAATGTTTTTGGAATTTTAGGGAAATTTTTGGGGGGAATTTTTTGGAAATTTTTTGGGAAATTTTTTTGAATTTTTGGGAAATTTTTTGGGAACTTTTAGAGAGTTTGGGTGGAAATTTTGGGATTTTTTTTGGAATTTTCGAGTAATTTTTTGTGTATTTTTTAGGAAATTTTTGTGGAATTTTTTTGGAATTTTTGGGGAATGTTTGGGGATTTTTTTTTAATTTTGGGGAATTTTGGGGTATTTTTGGAATTTTGGGGAATTTTTTTAAAAATTTTTTGGGAATTTTTGGGGGGAATTTTTGGGGATTTTTTTTTGGGAACTAATTTTTTGGGAATTAATTTTTGGGGAATTTTTTGAGAATTTTGTGGGAATTTGGGGGAGTTTTTGGGAATTTTTTGGGAATCAATTTTTTGGGAATTTTGGGTGATTTTGGGGGGAGTTTTGGGGGAATTTTGGGGAACTTTTGGGGGAATTTTGGGGGATTTTTTTGGGAATTTTTGGGGATTTTTTTTTTTAATTTTGGGGAAAATTTTTTGGAATGTTTTGGGGATGTTTTGGGGATGTTTTGGGGATGTTTTGGGGATGTTTTGGGAATTTTTGTGGCTCACAGCGCAGTCGGAGCGCGGCCGCCAGCAGCAGGAACAGCGCCAGGGTGAGGAGCAGCGCCAGGGCCGGGATCCAGGGGGAGGCGGCCGGGAAAAATTCCTCTGGAAAAGGAATCCCGGGAATTCACTGCAGAAACCGGGAATTCCCAACACCCCCCGAACTGGGAATTCCCTCCAAAAACTGGGAATTCCCAACCCCAAACTGGGAATTCCCAACCCACCCCCAAACTGGGAATTCCCTCCAAAAACTGGGAATTCCGAACCCCAAATTGGGAATTCCCTCCAAAAACTGGGAATTTCCAACCCCAGACTGGGAATTCCCTCCAAAAACTGGGAATTCCCACCCCCAAACTGGGAATTCCCTCCAAAAACTGGGAATTCCAGCCCCAAACTGGGAATTCCCTCCAAAAACTGGGAATTCCCAACCCCAAACTGGGAATTCCCACCCCCAAACTGGGAATTCCCTCCAAAAACTGGGAATTCCCAACACCCCCCGAACTGGGAATTCCCTCCAAAAACTGGGAATTCCCAACCCCAAACTGGGAATTCCCAACCCACCCCCAAACTGGGAAT